TTATTTACCTGGTTTGGTGATGCTAGGGAGAATATCATTTTTGCTGAGCCAGTTCCTGGATGGGAAAAACAAATGTGTTGCATAAACTATTGCAAAGGCTTCACTGCCTTTGAACACTCGCTGCCCTAATGTTATGGTGGCCATGGTTTAAGGTCAGATCTTGGTCCCTTTGCCAAGCATCCGCTACCAGATAGAAATTTCTTTGTGAAAAAATTGAATTTATATTCCATAGTAAAGTGTCCTGTACCTGAAATGTCATTTGTTCACATTTTTCTTAGATTGGGAAAACTGACACTGTCATGGGTGTGGTTTACACAGCTTTCTTCATGTCAACCAAAGTGAAGACTACCTCAAAATAAAAAAGAAAAAAAATCGTAGTGACTTGACTTGGGATGCTGGAGAAACCTTATGTCTTTGCATTTCTCCTGTTATTTTTTTTGAAGAGGGAAAATAAACAGCTTGGGGTGAAAGATACGAATATAAAATAGCACTACCTTCATACATGTGTGTTTGGTCCAGTTGTGAAGGGAAAACAGGGCCTAAGGTGAGAACTTTGTTGTAATAATTAATTATGGCCTTTCATAAGGACAGAAAAATGTAGTAGAGAATCCGTGTCTCTATTCTTTTTATCTTCTTAAAAGAAAGAGACAAGGTAACTGGACAAAAACTAATGATCAAGTGTCTGTTTAAAGCTCTAGCCAATGGATTAGCAAGAATATACAAGTTATATTGATTGTTCACTTTTAAAGGAGCCTGTCTTTACAAGAATAAAACACTTAAAAAAAGTGACTTGTTGACTCATTTAATTACTTTTTCTAATTTGTTTTTTGGGAAACAGTTGTTGAGACATATCTATGGTGGTGGTCAAATGATTCAGTTCTAAACTCAGGGCTATGAAGACTAATAAGGTAAATGCCAGATACGGTCACTGCAATTGTTTTATTAACAAATTATGGCATAATCAATCTTTATGAATGTGATTTCTAAATCTTCACTCGTTAAAATTAGGGAAAAATGAATCCAGGGCACTTTTCCATCTGGACCCCACCTTTACATAAATTTAGTTCAGTAAAATGTCTCCTATGTATAAGTTTTAGGTAAGGAGATTCAAGGCCTGTAAAGATAAGGAAGTCCGCACTGCTGATAAAAGGGTGTTTATTATCGCATAAGGGGATAATGCTCAAACAGAAGTAACTGAAATACTACAGCAAAGGGACTCTGCCATGGATTTTAAGAAGTGGTGTCATCTGATTGAGAGACTAAGATAGCTTTAAAGAGAGAATAAATGCTAAATAAATATTGATTGAATGGATGAATAAATAAGCTAATGAGGATATAAACATCACAAACACTAGTTTATTAAGACCCATCTGAGACTCATAAATGAATGAAAGTTCAGCCTCAACCCACAATCCAATTTCATGTTAATCCTGTTTGTATCAGTGGTGTATTAAGCACTCAGGGGTCTTCCTAGATAAGGGCTGGTGTGTATTACCTAGACCTATTACGAAGCTGCGATCATTATATGGAGCACTGTCTTCAAGCTAAAGACCTGCAGTGGCACTCTAGAGTGTGAATGATTTGGTTTCCTTTTAACTTGATTTTAAAAGTCAGCTGGAAATTCCTCTCCCAGACATTATTATGTTCTAGAGAATTCAGTGACAAGGAGAAAATGGTACAACATATTTGGTAGTTATAAGGACATGATGCCTGGTGTTAGAAACTTACTGTAATGAGGGCAGTCACTCTCACTAATCCCTTTGTTCTATAGAAATTCCAAACACCCAAATGTCCCTTGAATATTGATTTTTAACATGATTTAAAATATGTTAGTACAGATAAAAACAGAGCTTTAGTTTGCTTAATTTATTTAGTTTACTTCAGCTCCACCAAAAGAAAAAGATGAGGCAAGGGGCTTTTGCAAACAAGTTGTGGACTTAAAACTACAACCTTGTAAGATAGTAAGCAAATGGGACTTTAGTTCCAGGGGTACGTTGCACAGATGGGAGAGGATAATAAAGAACCTTAGACCAAGAAGAACTAAGGCTGTTTAATAAAGAAGAGATTTAGGGAGAAGATGGGGAATAAGAACTCTCATCAAATATTAAGAAAAGAGGTACACAACACTTGTGTGTGTGTATGTATTTTTTATTTTCTGTATACTTGGGGATGTTTGAAATTAAAGAAGTTTTTAATTAGGACAACCCCCTCTTTTAAGGGGGAGGGAACAAAAGGGATGCCTGCCTCTCAAAGTGGTGAACTCTCTTTCATTGCAAGTTCCCAGCAGAGGCAGTAAAGGATGTTGAGGTAGAGTCCTTCTTGGGCTCAAGAATCCTGGGGGGGCTCAAAGTCCTAAGTCTGTATTGTCAGTCACTGGGATGGACACGAGTGGTACTCCACCTGGGCTTCTCCTCTTACTATTTCAGGGCATACTTGCTCACCTTCTAACTGCCAGTGCCTGAATCTCCTTGACTCAGGGTCTTCTCTGGTCTGTAGAGCCCACTTTGCCCTTAGGGTGGAGAGACCGGGTCAGAAGTGCCACGGAATTAATGCCGTCCTCCCCAGCAG